AACAATGGAAAAATATTATCTTGCAGATATTTTCACCCTCAGTAAATTATACTATAAAAATTCATAGGTATATAAGCAAATTATAATTTTAAAATTCATTATTCATAAAAAGTAATTGGATATTTACCTATTGTTTTACTTAATATTTGAACATTTTTTTGATACTTTTTCTTGGTTTCATRATTAAACATATTTCAACATATTTTGAATTGATTTAAAATAATTTTACCATATTTTCATTTAAAATTAAAYTTCTTTTRTGGAAGTGATTGTTTTGTTTTAATTTCAGCCTGTATCATTTAGTAGTAATATTCAAATATATATACAGTAGCAGTGCCATTTGGGGGGAGCACAGGGCATACTTTAGCTTCCCTGTTTTTTTTTTTTGTGTCTTACGCCTGTATAACAATTTACAATGTCTCGATGAGGTTCAATCATTTTTTTTATAACTATAGGTATATAGTGAGTACTGTATCAAATGAAAGGTTCTTTTCTTCACTCAAATGAATAAAATTCTATCTTAGATCTTCAATGGGTGACAAACGATTAAGCGATTTAATGATCATGGCTGAAGAAAAAGAAGATGCTAACAAAATCAATTTAAATGAAGCAGCTGATATATTTTCTAAACTAAAAAGTAGAATTTAAAGATARAATACCATAATAAATTTAAAAAAAACAATAATGCATATTAWCGTGTAGAATATTGTATTATTATTTATCATAATATGTTTATAAATAAATATAATATATTAATTTTATTTGGAATAAATTGCAATGGTATAGGTTACTATACCAAAAGTTAAACTAATCTATTAATGAATAATTTTAATTCATTTAATTATATCTTTTAAGAGTTAAACTCCATACAAGTGACTTCTACACAATGTCTGTATTTACTATTTTGAAGAAAAATYGGCCTGCCACTGATATACAGATAACAAATTTATTACAAAATAATGTACGGGTAAGTCATAATAATCATGACATAATCATTATGTTATTATAAGTACCTAATTTTTTTAACTCTGTCCTTATAATAGACTATGTTATATTTAAATTATCTAATTATTCTAATTAAGTATATATAATAGTGTATACTTTTATTTCTACTTCAGAACTTTGTTTTATTTTAATCAAATATGTGTACTTAATTATCATGTTAATTCTCAATAAACTGTACTACCCCAT